TTAGCCCGCTGTAATTCAATTCCCTCGGCGGTGCTAACAGGCCGATTTAATAATATCCCCTTCAATAACAGATTATGCCCCTGCATGATGAATGTTGTAGAGACGTTACCCCACATCTTATTTCATTGCCCACTTCATTTGACCGCGAGGGACAAATTCCTCGCCTCCTTTCCACAACGAAAGCCCTGGCTTACTGACGAAGCATATTTTAGCTTTATTTTACAGCGGCCCGACGAGCACTTTTTGACTATCCTCGGCAAATTTTTGCTAGACATAATCCAAACTAATACAGAATGAGAATCCAATCCTAAATTTTAGTGTTTTAGGGGTTGTCCCCACAAGTTGTACTTTGTACCCTTTGTATGTCTGTATGCGCTTTTTATGCCAATAAAGGTAAAGTAAAGTAAAGTAAAGATATTTAGTAGTATTTCACACACATTTAAACATATTTTCCCAACCAGAAACTACTGGAAAACAGCTCCTAAATTCTCAAGAAATTGAATTCTATGTGTCTGTAGAACCCAGCTCACAAAATACTTGACATTGGAATTGCTGCCTGCTGCCCTGTTTTGAATAAAGCGGGAGAAGGTAGCTAAGATAAGACTTACAAAGAAAATCTCAAAGCCAAAAGAGGCTTAGATAGTAGTAGGGGAAAACCTGTGCCCAGTGGACTTATAGTTTTTAGCCTAATTTCACACAAATTTCTAAAGCCTGCAAGCAATCCATTTAGAACTGACAAGAATGACCACCTCCTTTGGCAGATAGATGACTAAATCAGAAGAGAAAATGATTGACATTTCTATACTACCCAACTCGTAACTAAGCTACTTCTATGGGCAGCTAACAGGGCAACAAAGTCATAAATAGGGGAGTATTTCCTTGAAATGTTATATATTTTTATGCAACTTACGTTTGGGTTTATGGGTGGGTTTGAACATGTTTATGAGTAATCTGGTGAGAAACGCCAGACTACTCAAACATGTTTGAACTTGCTTATGGCTTTAAATGTACGTTGCAGAGAAAGTGTAAAATGATAATATCACTAGATATTGTGAAACTACTAAATAAACAATAAAACAACAGTGAAAAAAGACTTTCCAAAGATGGCCACAGGAAGCACAAAAGAAAAAAAGAGAAATAATGACAGGTTGCCATCAGAAGGGACACATAAAATTACATGATCAGGGGAAAACTACTGAAGGTCTTGGGAATACAACCAGGTCTTCAGTTGCATTCCTTTTTAAAAAAAAGTCTGCACACAGACATTTTATCAAAACAATATATACTTTATTTCTTTTGACATGAAAATGTCAGATTTCAAAAACCTTTATGTCAGGAAACTAAAGATTTTAAAAATTATATTCAGATACCTCAAGTCAAAATGTTTATGTAAACAAACAAAATGTATTTTGTGAATGACACTAAAGATTTTCATGTAGGCACAATTATATTCCTCTGGAAAGCACTGTAATGAGCTAGGCTGAAATAATTTCAGAATGGATCTTAGTTCTGGGGGTTTTCCATAATGCAAATGGAAAATCAAGATCTTTCCCTAAAGTGATCAGATACTTTTAATATTCTCACATTTCCAAATTTCTCTAGTGGAAAAGTGGCATAACTAACATGCATGTAGCCTGTAACTACAGTCTGAATTAGATATTTGGTCAAGTAATTAAGTACAATACAAAACATATAGATACTCTCTAACCAATGTTGGGGGGGGGGATAAATAAATTCTGGATCAAATACTTGGCTTGGCTTTTTTCTGATCTGTGCTCTGGTACATATTTTATGTCATTAGGAATGTACAATATATAATATAGAATATTATAGAATATAGAATATAATATCAATATAGAATCTTGAGGTTTCCAAAAATGCACAAAACATGGAATAAATTCTCTCTGCATGCCCATTTATTTCACTGACCACAAGGAGATACTGATCAAGGCTATGAAAGCTGGCAAGGGTGAGACATGACGTTCACCCACAGATGTCACTGAGCACAAAGAGACCTAGAGCCCTAATTGAAAATCCACATTTTAAATTAGTAGCAACCAAACATCTAAAATGGGTCTGAAGCCCCATTTTTGTACTTTCATACAAACAGCAATTCAAATGCATCCCATTAAAGATGAATGGGGATTTACGGTAATTATGTCCTACAGTATTAAAAAGGAAGGGGAATTAAGTATGTGTGTTGGCTTTTAGTCACAGGGTATTTGTGTCACTAGCAAGATGCATTATTTAGGTAATTGGGGTGGGGAATGTGTAGTCCTTCAGGTGTTGTTCAACTACAGCTCTCAACATCCTTCATCATTAGCTACACTAGCTTTGGGCTGATGTACAGTCCACCAGCACTTGGAAGACCATACATTTCCCCTCCCTGAAATACTCCATCAAGCTTCTATGTAACATTTCCATGAGTCATTTCAATGAGACTGATATAAATAATTCCTAGTGGACCAAGTACCCAAATAAAACGCTGGATGCAACTTACTTACAGATGCAATACCATTCCTTGACAAAGCTCTTTAAGGCTGGGTAATGTTACTTTAAAGATACTCCTACTTTGTGACTTAGAATCACTTTCCATTTCACAAAACAGCAGAGAGGAAAGAAGCCAAGGAAAATACAGAAAGAAAAACAAATCAACAAAAGCAAAAAAACAAAAAAAAAAAAAACAATCCAAACTGTTCACATTATAGTCAGCATGTGAAGAATTAAAATATAAGTACAGGTGACTTCAAAACAGTGTTTTCAAATTGTAACTTATCTAGCCTAACCAATCAAATTATTCTTTTCAAAAAGGCTCCAGGAACAGGATGATCCACAGTAGACGTTAACTACCAAGATTCAAATAGTCAAAGAGTTCTAGTGCACTGGTTCTTAACCTTGGGTTACTTGGGAGTTTTGGACTGCAACTCCCAGAAGCCTTCACCACCAGCTGTGCTGACTGGGGTTTCTGGGAGTTGCAGTTCAAAAGCGTCTGAGTAACAAAGGTTAAGAACCACTGTGTGGAATCTCTCAACCCAAGCACAGAAGTTCAAAACATACTGATTGATACTCAAAACTGATAATTAACAAAACTTGTCTTCACTGAAAATAGTAGGAAAAATATAACTAAAGATTGTTTTTAAGAAAACAATAAAAATATTTATATAAGGATCCAGATTTCATGAAAGATTTTTTTTAATGAATACACAGTTCTTTGCTAGTATGTAATGCCTGAAGAGTGCTTTTTTCTTGTTGACATTTGCTGGGTGAAAGAACTTTGGGAATAAAATGAAAACATTATATGAAGTTGATGCTTTGAGGAAGGTCATGATTGCCTACACCAAGCTAACTGTAAATTCATTCTCTGAGTGTGTATTTTAAACACAGTAAAAGTATAAAATACTATTTATGAAAATTAATTACACTTAAATATATAATTCAGTTATTTAGCAAAGCCGCAGTCTTCCAAACAGCATTACAATCATCACTGAAGTTCATATTCTGCCAAAGAGAAGAAACACCTGAAAACATAATTATTACATTGGCTTTTCTGTCCCATCAGGAAACTCCACAGCTGCTGTTTTTGTCTCTTCAAGTACCCTCCTGGGCTGATCATGTAAGTTTTCTGAAGATGTTTCTGGTCAGCTCTTTTTGCAGTTGGTGGTGACTTAAAGATTACCATTCTGTTGCTCATTTTCTCCATTGAACAGTGTTGTCCTCGTCACTCTGCAAGGCTGAAGCCTCCATGTTGTCTAGTAAAGTATGATGAGCTTCATAATCATGGAGAGGTAACACTGCCTCTCTTTTAATGGAAGACGCCAACTGTCTCCATGTGATCATGACATTACTGAATACATGTAGAAAGAAAATGCCAATAATGATGGTGGAAAATCCACTCAAAGTCCCAATGATGTCATCAAGCTCCATGCTATTCCATTCCTTAAAGAGGATGGCAGAGCAGACCACCACTGTAGTTGTGAAGCACACATAATAAATAGGCGTCACTAGAGATGTATTAAATACATCCAGCGATTTATTGAGATAAATAATCTGAGTACTGACAGACAGCACCAAAACCATGCCCAAAATATAAACCAAGGGATGTTGGAAAACTGGCCTTTGTTGTAGCATGTCTTTAATAGCAATACCCAGCCCCTTGACAGAGGAGACTGAAAATGCACCAATCACCGAACAAATAGAGATGTAGACCAGGATATTTGTCTGGCCTAGTTTCGGAGCAACAGCAAAAATGAGCACCAGCAAGGCGACAATTATAATTGCAGAAAATCCAATGAATACTGTTGAGAGAAACAGAAAAAAAGAAGAATTACACCATGTGAATTAAGACATAAGACATAAGACATAAGACATAAGAAATTTATTTGTCATTGCGCTCACAAGTGGGTGCAACGAAATGAGGTGCTCTTCCCCAAGGTAAAACTGGACAACACTACAAAAAAAAGTTAAAATATACACAACTTTCACCATCCAAATATAGATACCCCGTTTTCTCTCAGCAATTAAAATTCCACCAAAAACCTATGGCCCCGCATTTAAACTCAATACTGCACTTGGGTAAAAGCTGTTCTTGAATCTGCTTGTCCTTGCTTTCAATACCCTGAATCTCCTTCCTGACGGTAATAATTTAAAGAGCTGATGTCCCGGATGAGAGGAGTCTTTCAGTATGTTAGATATCTTCCTCTTACATCTGTTCTTATACAATTCTTTCAAAGAGGGGAGTGAACAGCCAATGATGTTTTGGGCCGTCTTAATCACCCTTTGAATTGCCTTTTTCTCTGCCACTGTGCAGCTCGTGAACCATACACAGAGACAGTAGGATAATATGCTCTCAATCGAACTCCGATAGAAGGTGATCAACAAACTCTCAGTCAATTAAGCCATAATCAAATCACCATTCTTTTTGCTATCCTCTCCATCACCCTTTCCACCACCTTACTGCCATCTGTTTTTCTGATTTACTATGTATTAACTTTTTTAATCGCATTTTTAATTTTTCTCTCTCTCCTTATATTGTTTTTAGCCACCCAGAGTGGCCTGGTTGCCAGATGGTGCAGGATATAAATTCAATAAATAAATACATAAACAAACAAACAAATCACAATTTGTTCACCTCAGGGGGTTCGACCCAGAGACTCATGTGGATTTATGCTTAGAAAGTTCTTTCATTCACAGAATGGCAGAGGAAAGAGGCAATTTTAATTGATTCCCACTTTGAGTCCTGAAAATTATTCCAAGTGTGCTCAAGCAAACTGTAGCTACCACTAAAAATCCACCTTTCCCCCTTTTTTTACAAGTGATGTCCTCTGCTGTATTACATCTCTTTTCAGGAACAGAATTCCTCCTTCTGGCTTTGGAATGCTATTACAGAGAATATAGTTGCATAAACTATATTCCCTGATATTATAGTGGCTTGAGAATGGTAAGGAAGTCCTATAAACATAGTATAAGCTATTAATAAGGAAGAGTGATGTGATTTGAGGAGCTTCCTCTTTTGTATCTTGCAGTAGCAGCTATATACATTCAAGAGATTGACTTAAAAAATAATATATTTCAGAATCATACATGGTTTTACATTCATATTTTGATATAATAAGTCCATAAAGCTGTTCACAAGTAAACATTCTGCAGCAGAGTTAACTTTTTAAAAGGAGGATGGACTGCCTTTTTATAATCACAAAATTATTCGGCATAAGTGCTGTTCCCTTTTTCCTCACTAGGGTGGTTTCCTACTATGTGTGGTAGAATTTTACCTGACTATGAAAACTTGATTATGAAAACTGAAAACAAATTACAGTTCAAACAATTTGCTCCACAATCCACAGCAGGAGACAGCTGATTGGAAATATTCACAGTTATCACAATTGTGCACAAATCAACAGGCAATTTGTTTGGCTGCCTCCTATGTCCTTCTGAACTTCCTATATGATGCTAGAAAATTCCTTCAGCATTTTGATTTGTCTAAATAATACCTGAAATCTTAATTCTTGTATCCAGCATAACTGCTTTTTCAGAAGGCTCTGCTACATTCAACTACCAGAGGAAGGCACCAGCTGCAAGGGAAGCCACCCTTTTCAAAGAGGGAAAGCCACCCTGAAGGTGATTACAGCCTCCTTTCCTGATATTTCAGCTTCATTCCCCACCACCAAATTAAATATTTTACTCATTTTATAAGTGCAGGCAGAGGAAAGAGTATGCAGAAAGCAATTCACTGCAGTTACGCATAAGCAGAAAATCTGTGCTTGGTTTCTGATGTTCCAATTAGATTATAATGGCAAATTCATGATGGAGTGTTTAAAAAAATATGTGTTCTGCATACATAACTTTCAGCTGTGGGGAAACAGAAGAGGAAGCTCAGCACTAGATCATATGCTTCTTCATATGCTCACCCAAAAGATCTCACACAGAAGAGCTGTGAAAAGCCTCTATGACCAACACTTTGCACAGCACATGCTTTAATGAGCCAAAGATCTGTTCTGGCAGACTTCAAAAAGTGCCTCAGAAATAGAGAAAGTCACCATGTGACTCCATTCCTTTTTATTTCAGGACAATGAAATAAATTGTTTGCACACGGTAATTAAATGGGGAGAGTACACAAGAAATGTCAAGGTTTATTGACTGACTAGATTAACTCCTTGATCTCAGCACCAACAGGCATTTCCTGCATCTGCCTGTAAGGCAGAAGAGGACACAGGAGGGCCTGCTTATAGTAGGCCACAAACAAGATCTAAGGTCAGAACAAGGCTGCCAGGACACCACATGACATTTCTTCATACCTTCCTTCTGAATTCTGGCTAGTGATACAGAGAAGAGACATACTGACATCTGGCAGGAAGTCTACAATGGGTGGGTAACAGTGGTGGGTTTGGGGGCCATTTTGACCCAGCATGGACCTGCTGTGGGCTGCAGTCCTGCTGGACATTTACTTTTACTCCATCCAAACTGGACATAACCAGAAGTTCACTTCTCAGTTTGAAGCCCCACACTACAACAAGGTTTGCTTTAGAGAAGAATTTATTTAAATTATTTTGCCCTACCTTTCTCTTTAAATGGCCCAAAGCAGTTTACATCATTAAAAGACAATATTTAAAAGCCAAACACAGTTAAGTATACAAATATTTTTAAAAGGATCAAACAAATACCATAAAAATGTTAAACATACAGTATTCAACACCAAAACACATTCAAAGAAACAAAGTACAACAGTACATTTAAAAACCCCTCTCAGACATCCAGTCACTAAGGAAAAGCCTGCCTGAAGAGAAATATCTTCATCTGCTTGTGGAAGGACAGCAAAGATGGGTCCAACCTGGCCTCCTGTGAGAGGGAGTGCCAGAGTCCCGGAGACTTCCAGGAACAGCAAGTGTCCTTTCTGCGGTATATAAATTACATTTTCTTGGAGAGGTAGGAAGACCAGGAGGGTCCAGGGCTTGCAAAAATGGGGAGATCTACACATTGCCCAACCATGATCTAAAGTCTGGATCACATAAGGCTCCAAATGAATACACAGTGTGAGAACATGGCTCCACTGACCAAACGGATATAGCCATCTAATCTCCAAGTCCATAAAATTTCTCCTAATGGATGAAACTTTGCAATGGTGGCGGGAGTCTTTGCTCTCTAGATGTTTTAGACGTCAACTTCCATAATTCCTTACCATCACCTATAGTGGGTGAGGTTGATAGAAGGTGAAGTCCAACTCATCTGAGGCCCTAGAATTTGGCAGGCCCTCTGCAGCAGGCCATGTATGAGCAAAGTAGTACATGTACAGTTCCAAAGCCATTTGTTTGGTGAATGAACAGATTCAGAAATATCTCCAAGCTAAAACCAATTACATGGTACCTGTGTTCCACAGCTGCCTCAGCTGTAACCATAAAACAGCAACCATACTATTTCCTGATTTACATCTAAGAGAGACCTGACTGGCAAATTCTATTTTGCCAAGAACATTTGGACTTTATATCTAATTTAATTTAAGATTACCTTCCCTGGCAAAATTCATCTTGCCATGAACTTTTGGACTTCTTAAGTTCTTCCCACTAGGACAAATCTGATGAAGTGGTTTTTGATCTATGAAAACTCATGTATAACTTTTTTAGTGACTAAAAAGTAGTGACTATTTTTGCATTTGTATTTAATTTCAAAGTAGTTACCAGAATTACATACCTGGATCTTTTAACTTAATTTCCATTTCATCCAGCGATGTAATTTCCTCCTCTTCAGGAGCATGAATTACCATCACAGTAGACCCCAAAATGCTTAAAATGCAGCCCAGCTTCCCATGGATATTAAGTTTTTCATTGAAAAAATAGGAAGAGAGCACTGAACTGTATGGATTTTTAAAGAAAGGAGGTCATAACATTTCAGACACAACAAATCTCAAAAATTAAGTCCAGACTCACCAGCATTAATAAGAACCACAGGAAATACTAGAGGCATGCATATTTGTGTTTTGGGACTGCAACTATTAGTGGTTTTCAACCAGCATACATACACATAGACATCTTAAAGAATATTACAGTCAGTTATGAGAGTATATAGTTAGGACTAAATCTAAAAACTGGCAACTACATAATGTCAAGGGTAACACAGGAAAGCTTGGTAGGAAATAATCTCTCTTCAGAAGGCAATTGTCTTTTTTTTCCCTTTTGCCAGCCAGCTCTGATTCAGTGGCATTGCTTTTCTCCATTTTCAATCCTATGTGACTGCCTGATTTGATGCAAAAATATACTCATAATGGTGTCAACCAAACAGATTTTTAAATTTTCTGGGCATAATGTGGAAAGTCACGTAAACTGTCCTGAACATTATAAGGAAGGCACATAATTTCTGCATGAAAATGTCTACTTGCTTCGGTGACTTTTAGGTAGCTAATAATATGCTTTTCTGAGAAGAAATCGAGAATTAATATATGAAAGAAGTGCCCATTTTTGGGTGCACAACTTTGCACAATGAGGGGGGGTTGAGTGTGCTAGGGAAGTTGAGAGCAGTGTCAAGCAGCTAGACTTTATTATGGGCCTTGATTCTAAGCAGGGTCATTCAAGGTAGAATGGTCAAAGCTCAGGCACTTGCCTAAGGCCAGAAAAAGATGCCAGAGATAGATTATGAGTTGAAAGCATGTTAATGTTGCTACTGAGATAGCCTTTCGGGGCTTGTGAAATCAGATTTCAGATTTTTTTTTTTTGCACTTTAAGTTCTTCACACTGGTACAAGCTTGATGAAGTGGTGTTTGGTCCATGAAAGTTCACATACTCTAGATGATTTTTAGTGGTCTACAAAGATATTACCTATTCTTGCATTTAGATTTCAGAGGAAGCCCATGCTTACACTGCAGCTGTTTTGCAGATTACTGAAGGCGGGAGAGGCTTGTGCTGTGATGCTCACATTAGTTAAGAATTTCTCTCTTCCAGCCACAGACTGTCTCTTAATATTTTTTCCTAGCCTAAAATATTCCACCTTATTAAAAAAATGAATAGCAAAAGAAAAGTAATAATGGTCATGGGGTGGAGGAATACTTCAGGGGCAGCTCCTGGCAGCAGCAATAGTGGAAGGTAGCACTCAAAGAGGATCTTTCATTAAAAACAGCAGTAACACTCAAGTTGTGTTAGAACTCCACAGAAGGCAATGTTAAATCTCTTCTGACTATTAACAGCTTTAAAACTTTACAATCCAAAATATAGTGCTGGAAGACTCCCAGGAAGGCACTTGACTAATCTTTGAGGAAGAGTAAAGGATAAGTACAAGTAGCACTGTCACTAATGAAGCGGCTGAAGTCAAAAGGACATCTAGTTATTAATATGCACAATACATATAACTGAAGCAAGGGGTGTAAGAACATGAGCTAGATTGACCCAGTAATGCTGCCAACCAAAGGCATAGGGTTCCCCCCCCCTTTATATTGTTTTGAGAGAATGCATAAAAGTATCCAACAAAGCTGCTCCCATATGGGTTAGCCTGTGAAACAAGCTGAGAACCTGTTTGAAGGGTGAAAGCCATGAGACAGAGATTTATTTCATAACATAATAAAAATGGGAGCCGGCTCTTTCACAACCCATCATCTGACTTCAGCCATAGAATCTGTAGTATAATGCAAAAACGAATTCGTACTAACCTTAGAAGAACACTCAGTGCACCCAGCGGGGTTACCAAAGTTGCCGGCGCAAAGGCATAGGCGGCAAAGTTAGCTGCTTCTCCTATTCCCACTGGTTTAAAAAAAAGCAGTTAGAAGTTAGTAGAAAACCAGCACTGCCGATACTTTTTAAATATAATTGCAGCCATTTCATTTAAGGCTGCAGAAATAGTCACTTATGCTAGTCAATGTATAGGCAGGGTCTTTCAGACAATGAGATCAAATACCACCAGCAGCTATGTGTACTGAAAATGTACATACATTTGGAATTATGGAAATTATTTACTCAGGTAAAGGAGACGATACTCCATGAAAGCTTACGGTATAACGGCTGAAATCCAATAGTAAGTTGCAACTAGAGTAGTCCCACAGAATCAGTGTGGATGTAGGAAGTCAACTTTTCTTTAAGTTCCAGTGAGTCAATGGCCCTTCTCTAGTTATGGCTTAATCGCTACTGGATTTCAGCCATGAAATGAGTTAGTCAGTAAACATCAGCAAGCCCCCTTGTGCTTTTAAATACAGAGAAAGAATTGCTTTAGTACTTACTTAAAAGCAGCCCTGCCCACCACAGCCATTCCTTCAGATATGAATATCCACCCTGTCCTGAAAAATATAACAATTATTTTTAATTTATATAAGGTAGGAAGACTTGCAACATCTATGAAATAATCCCTGCTGTTCTATTTTATTTTTTTCAAAGGGGGTTGATAGATCACCCATATTCAGTACTACTCACTGTTGCCTGTTGCCCTGCAAAGAGCAGAACCAACACTTGCCTTAATATCTTAACATGGTCTTGGATAGAATCTTAACATTGCTAAGCTGTAAAATACACTTAAACAAATATACAACCCACATTTTGGGACTTGATCATTCCAAATTACAATTTTAAGGTGAGTGTTTTGTTTTGAAACAACAATATTTCTTACCAGCTCTAGTGCATCCCTTTTCAGCCAACTGCAAAAGACCCTTCTTTTTTAGTATAAAGCTGAAACCAATGAAGATGCTGGACCCGATGGCCAAGACCACACCTACATATAGCCTGTATGTGTTTCTTAGGGGAATGGAAAAACTCGGCTCAGTTTCATTGAGATATTTGCTGGAATAAGCAAAGAAAGAAGCTTGTAGCTCAGACATATTGAGAATCTGACACCAGGCATAATGAGAGTTGGAGCAAATCAAGGGAAATACCTCGCCTGCAAGAAGAAAGGAAAAAATAAACTTTATTGACACATATCAAGCCACCTATTCAAATGCTCCAAAGAAATTATGTGTAAATCTATGACAAATTACACTTTGTTCCCCACTCCAGTTTTTAATAGCTTATCAGAAACCTTTCAGTTCAAATAATAATGAATTTCAAATAAGAGACAAATATAAACCAAAGGGAATATTACTTGACAGGTATTGGTGGAAAACAATATTCTAATTAACCATGAAAACCTCTGCTTATATCTCCACCCTCTCACCTTGAGGGATGATAATGAGCTGAAGATTTTTTCCCATTTTTTAAATTTAGTTGGACAATAAAAGAAAAAAGTTAAAAATTGCCAGAGGTGTTTGAAGAAGACCACCCAAAGGTTCCTGGCTGACAGGAGCAGCTTCTGTTTTACAGAAGAGCTATTTGACTAATATTGCTTGGGAGTCAGCTTGTACTGTCACTTCTTGCAAGCATGACACCTTCCCACTTGCTAATGTATATTTTTGTGAACAAAATGAAATATCCAGAATACTCTTCCATGAGAAAACTATGTAAAACCATACATAGAACTACTATTTAGGGAGGTATGAGACACTTTGGAATAAATATAATGAAGGGCAGTATATAAAATGAATTAAACAAAACACAATCAATACAGATTTTTCCTCTTCACACATCCTTTCCCAATAGAAATAGTACAGTCTACTTTTAAGAGTCATCCTTGGAATAATACCTCATACTGAATCTGACTACCAGTCCATCTTGGCTACTAAGATGAATAAGCAATTCCTCTGATTATGCTGTTTTAACTTCCACAAGGTGATTTTCTTACAGCATATAGTTTGTTGATCAGTCTTCCAAATCAAACCTATGTTTACTTTCCAATAACCAATCAGAAAATATAAAGACAAGGAAAAGGAGATACTATAGGAAAGAGATATCTTCCCCACTTTACGAAGCACCTCTTCTAAATACAAGTTAAGCATTTTCAACATTTTGAAAGCAAATGCTGAAAGCAACGCAAGACAAACAGCTCATCTGGGATGGAAGGAATCGGAAGGCTCTGAAGCATATTCCCTGGAAAATCAGAAACAAAAGGGAAATGTATGATAAACAAACTACTTTCTTAAGAGCCAATTCAATTACTTATACACTAGATGGTTAGTTCCAGAAGGCTTATCATTTGTTTATCTAACACAAAGATATAGCAATTCGACCATGAAGGCTGAACAGTTTTTAGATGAATTAGGAGGCAAAGAAAATGACTCAGAAGTGGAAGAAGAGCAAATAAAGAAAACCCCAGAACTGGAGGAAGAGGAAAAGCAATCACAGGAAGAAGAATCTAAATCAGAGGACGAATTGGCGGGGTGGGGGCAGCAGCGTTTAAAAAACTGAAAAGTTTTATGACTACAAGGAAGGAGGAGCGAGAGAGATCTAAAGATAGCAAAAAAGTAAATATGTCTAAGGGCATGTGGAAATTATGTTCAATAAATGTCAATGGTCTGAATTCCCCTGAAAAAAGAAAGTACGGTATTCTACCATTTGCAGAAACTAGGGAGGGATATAATCTGTCTTCAAGAAACACACTTGAAACAGGAAGATGCAAAATTAATTGAAAACAAAAAAACTGGGAATTCTATTTTCAGCATCAGATAAGGGGAAAAAGAAGAAAAGGGTAGCAAACTATATTAAGGAGAGACTCCAACCAAAATTTATTTACACCTCGGAAGATGGAAGAATAGTTTAGTTATTTGGTCTTTCTCTTTCCCTTCTGCATTCAACTTTTCCTAGCACTATTGTAAAGTACATATCTCTCCTACTCTGGCCATGCTGCACTGGCTGCCCATCCGTTTCTGCATTGACTTCAAAGTGTTAATGCTTACATATAAAGCCCTAAACGGTTTAGGACCTCGATACTTGGCAGAACGCTTACTCCCAACTAATTCTACCCGTGTCACCCGCGCGACCCAGGAGGTGAAGCTGAGGAGCCTGACGCCGAGGGAAGCCCGGAAGGAAAGAACTAGAAACCGGGCCTTCTCGGCGGTGGCTCCTCACCTCTGGAATAACCTACCTCCGGAGATTTGCGCTGCACCCTCGCTGGGTACTTTTAAGAACCAACTAAAAACGTGGATGTATAGGCAGGCCTTCCCATCTAGTTAATTCCTGTCCTCTTTCCTTTTTTATTCTTTTTCTCTTTATTTGATTTATTTTGTATTTTTCCCATCTTGCTGAATCATTTAATTAATGAATTGTTATAAATTTTTCTTGAACTTATTATCCTTTATGTTGTAAGCCGCCTAGAGTGGACGAAATGACTAGATAGGTGGGGTATAAATACAATCAATCAATCAATCAATCAATCAAGGTAATAACCAGCACTTTGAACTGAGTCCAGAACCAGACAGCTAGTGAAAATGGCTGTAAAAGGAAAATCATATGTCCTCTCTAACAAGCCCCATTCTGCAATCTGGCTGCAGCATTTTGGATCAGCTGAAGGTTCAGAATAGCCTTCAGAGGCGGCCTCACATACCCTGTGTTACAATAATCAGATAAGGCACATGTCACCAAATCAGGCAGCTTCGGAATGAGCATAGCCAACATACAAGTGGGGTCTTGACTTGAGAACTTAATCCGTATTGGAAGGCGGTTCTCAAGTCAAAAAGTCTGTAAGTCAAGTCTCCATTGACCTACAGTGCATTGAAAACCGATTAATCCCGTAACAGGCCGTTTTTGGTCCATTTTGGTTTTTTTCTGGTCTGTAAGTCAAATCTCAGTCTGCAAGTCAAACCTAAATTTTGCGGCCAGAGAAGTCGGTAACTCAAAAAGTCTGTAAGTCAAGTCGTCTGTAAGTCAAGGGTCCACTGTACTACCTGTATCTGTACAACTGCATCCCTGCCATGACTGAAGCCTAGGAATTTAGCCTAGAAAGATACTATAGTTGACAGGACTGAAAGCCACCAAGAGGTCCAGCAGGGGGACCCCTAACCTTGTTTACAAAATACAGGTAGGTCTTTCCCCAAAGCAACAAACACCATATTTGTTCCATGACCAGACCTGAAAGATAATCCATCTCATGCAGGAACCCCTGGAGCTGCGAGGCCATCAAATATTCCAGCCAATCCCTAATATTGCGTATTTGGACAAATATACAATATTAGGGATTGGCTTGTAATTATCAAATATGCCAGGCTTCATGGATGGCTTTTAAAGAGGATTGTTTGTAGTGCAGAAGCCTATTTCTCAGGTTTTGGTTACTGAAGAATAATCAATGTGAAGTCATTTAATAGTAATTTAATTCCATCTGAGTAATGCAGAAGGAAAACGTGTGCAGAAACCCCGTAACATTGTCTTCTCTGTTTGCAGAGCCTCCTGCTTTGTCAAGCCAAAACTTGAGGGAAAAGAGGAAACAGAGTCTAGGAGCACTGGTCTGCCTGAATATGTGGAAAAGTTAAACAAAGAAAATACCCTGTTTACCCCCCTCCCCCGTCTATGAACTCCTTCATGTTGGTTCTAATCACCAGTAACATGTGCTGGTGCTCTTTTTCAATAGGAAGGCCATTGCTGGGAGTACAGCTTATGTAGTTCCATTCAAAGTGACCTGCAAGTAACTACTGTACACACTGACTAGGGTCTCAGAGATCAATAGACAGATTGCAGTATGTACCTTTGTAGATGAAAACTTCTCATACCGGAAAGTGTGGTGGGCAAACATTCATGGAAGCTGATATAATCCTCAACTAACATGGCTGATAACCTGCTTTTAATCTGCATACAAGGAAGAAAAGGGAGAGGTATGGGAGGAGAATGAAGCAAACACCAGGGCAATTGCTTGGTGTTTACATCCTTCAGACGGCTGTGGAGTTTTAACAGACAGGACTGCAGGTACAGTCAGAAAGGCGTTTCTGTTCAATACGAGACTATCTGGTTTTTCCGTGCTACTTTTCTCTCAACTGCTAGAGAGGAGCAGCAATGATACAGCAACAATACTCCAAACATGCACACATGGGGTTTCTCAACAGAAGACCGTCATCCAATTCAAAGGAGATGTTTTTGTAGAGCAACAACTGTGGTTATCCCACATCAGGAACAACCCACGCATATTGTGCCAACCACTAGAATAATAAACTTCAAACTGGTCCTGCCAGTGCCCTAAACAGGTGCTCATGTGTTGCCACTAAAATAGCAACAGCCAGCATATGATTGCCTAGTGCCTACAGTAGCTCTTCGTTCCTGGGTAATTCCCTGGCAAAGCAAAACGAATATCACATACTGTAATAGCTGACAAACATTTCACAAGTCCAAGCTCTTAGGGAAAAACAAAAGGTATTACAGGAACAGCAATCCCAGTTTGGAAACAGCACCTTTTTAGACAGTAATTCCCAAGTAATTTTCCCAAGCTTTTCATAACCTGCTCCCAAATGTCGTTTTACAGAGGCTATCAAACAGGTAGGGAAGGCAGCGGTCTTTGGGAACCATTCAAACCCTGTGGCCAAGAATCATCCCACAGCTTGTCTCAAATGCCAGTAAGGCTGCCACCTTTTCACCAGATGGAGATTTTAATTACAATTTCTACAACAGGCCGAAACTCAACAGGTACAGCTTCCCCCATCCCGCACGTCCAGCAGAGGGAGGGTTTGCCCACCGCAACTGGAAGGCACAAATGGCCTGCTAGAGAGTTTGGCAACCCGAAATGCCCGGAACGTGCACCTTTGGGAGGACGTGAGCGCCTGCGAGCAGGTCAAGAGAGCGGGCTGCCTCTGACCCGAATGAGGCGCCATCCATTTAGGACGGGTGTTTCTTTTCGCGAAAGATACAGCTTCCCACATAAGGCAAAGCCCGGACACCTGCCCTGTTTCGATAGCGGGCATTTCCCACGCCTCTCTCTGCAGAAAAATAAGCGCCAACCAAGGGGAAGTGGAAGCGGGGAGGGGAAACCCAGCAGACCAGTAACAGACCTTCGCTGCATGTCTCCCGGCGCGGCACCACTTTCTCCCCCATGACAGAGCCGCGGATTTATAAGCTGTTGCGCGCAATTTTATCTTCAGGCGGCCCTGAGAACAACGACCAGGTTTCCTGACTCCGAGCAACCCTCCGCCCGCCCCTTTCGCCTTCCACGCCGCACAACTTTGGGTGCCTCTCCCTCGCCAATCAAGGCGGGCCAATCCCAGCCTAGGGGCGAGTGTGGAAAGGCGGCTCCGCGGCGTTCCCGAGCGCCTGCCCTTTACGTCAGCCCACTGGCCCAACAAAGGTGGCTGAGGGGAGAAGGGGCTTCGCACACGCTCCAGTTCCTTTTTTCCTTCCAGAGCTGATGGTGAGGAAATGTCGCCTCATTTCCACCTATCCATTCTTAAATGTCTGAGGAAAAGATTCGCTGAGGCGCTGTTGACTGTGAAAGTCGTTGCCCCAAACCAGTCCCCCTTGCAATGTTTGAGGGCAGTCCTGGCTACTGTTAGGGTCTCTTCTGGTTTTAGAGTAGGAATTTAAACCAAGATCTCCTGAAACATTCGTCAACATTCAAATAACCCACACTGGCTTTTTTTTTTTTTTTTGGCCCATGCAGTAATTCACATTCTTGGGATACCATATATTCTTGGACTATAACTTCTAGAATCCCCAAGTTAGGGAATCACTGAATGAAGATTTATCACCTCAAGAAAAAAATAATCTTAAAACTGCAGATATAGAAGGGACCCTTTGGATCACTGACTCCAACCCTTGTCAAAGAGGCACAGTGGGGAATTGAGCTTCAACCTTCTGCCTCCACATAAACCACTGAGCTATCCAACAGTTCCAATGAAGACGGTCAAGACTGGAAGTATGTACTGTATTTGGTATAAGCTTGGATGGGCTACAACCCAGTCCAGACTATATCCAAAGGGATGAGCTGCAGTCCATGAATGGTTTTGCCAAATAAAACGTATTAGTCTTCCTCATGTCACTAGACTCTTCCTTGTTTCTATGTGTGACTGTTTTTAGGGAGGCATGGAACAAATTAGCTGGAATCTTATATCACCTAACCTTGGAATATCAGTTGGTTGTTGTGGGTTTTTCGGGCTCTTTTGCCGTGTTCTGAAGGTTGTTCTTTCTAACGTTTCGCCAGTCTCTGTGGCTGGCATCTTCATCTTGGAATATAGGCTTTCAGTTTGCACTAATGATCAGAATTAAGCAAATATTCATCTCATTTGAAAATATAAATAATATGCATTACAATTGAAACTGTACACTATACTTGTCTATGTTTAGAAAGTGGGAAAACCCCTCTTTAGCACCCATAAGTTGTTTTGAATACAAATAGGTGGCTAACTTATCTTGGGGGGCAATGAAATTCAGCAATTTCATACAAGGATTTCATTACACCATCATTAATTCAAAAGTTATATAATATGACACTCTATCCAGTATATCAAACTGGCTCTTCATTTCTCTTCATTCCCCTTTATAATTTCTAAGATACCTTAACTTTTTTTGTGGGTAATGATTTTCTCTACCACATTAGAAACTTCATTGTGGAACTCAAAAGCCTGTTCACAAAACAATCACATTGGGATATATATGCCTATTCTGCCACAATTCCTTCTGCAAAAATTGCTGAAAAATTCCTAATATACTTAAGTCAAACAGACTTTAAAATAATTTAAATGGTGCTTCAATTTCAGGTGCTGTTCTCACACTTTGGCAGAAACAGATTCTTCTTAATCCCAAAGTAACAGTATTATTGACAGTTAAGTTTTCTTTCTGTAGTTATTGAAAAAGGCATACAAACAGGAGCTAGTAAAGCAGACTTGGCAGCTCTGACAGTACTATGTAAACAATAATCATAATATTCTGCCATAGTGTATGCTTTCTGATAGACAGCTCCTAGTACTACCAATCACAAAACATTCAGAATGTTTCAAGACTGGAGGCTCTCCACATTAAGAATTAGAAAACACTGTGCAGCTATTCTGCCTTTTTCTCCTATACAGCATTTCCACATTAAAAAAAGAGAGAGGATGACAGTAGAGGTGGAGGAACAGCAGAAGGTGATGATTGGAGAACAATATTATCGGAAGCCCTGAAAAACTGCTCTGTGTTTTTCATGTGCAATAGATTTTCTGTGGTAAGGTATTTCCAAAGGGGTAGCCGTGTTTGTCTGTTGCCATGTTAAGTCTGTTGTCGGTCTCCATGGTGGTTTGCGTAAGGGAGGAGAGGGAAGGAGGGAGGGGCAGCTGGCCATACACAAAACTGTTGCTGATAGCCATAACAGCTTTGCATTATGTGAACCAATTTATACATGCCATGTGCCGAGAAACCATTATTACAATTCAAACCTTTATTGATAGAGTTGAATATAATAATGTATTGCAATTCAAGGGTCTCAGTCTGAACATCTGCCCATCTGTCTAATCTCCCCTTGAAGTTCCTTTGCTCCACTTTGAAGTCAGTGACAGAGTGTTATGGGAAGCTGAAGTGTTCTGCCACTGATTTGGGTGTATTGAATGTTGTATATTGTATATTGCCATTTCTGATGTAATATTTCTATCGATTCATATGTTTGTACAGAGATTGTTGCAACTGCCCTTTGCAGAATTCAAAATGGCATTGCCGAGCTGAGTTTAGCATATACAGTACAGTGTTACATTCAAAGATGAGCAAGTAAATGAACCACTGATGTTGTGAATTGGGTCTGGTAATGGTGTTGTCAGAATAGATGTAGAGATAAAACTGATATTTGAATCTGTAGCAGGGTCTTGTCCCTGTGTTTGCAAAATGGTATGTGGCCTTTTGTTAACGAGTAGATGTTTAAGATGGTGTTGGTTGTCTGTAAACCAGCAAAGGCTTATCATCAAAAGCATGTAAGAGAGCCACATATAGATTGCAGCTCACCAATGATGTGTCTGAGTGGTATCAGCCAGAAGTGTAGTGACAAGCAGAGCTGTTCTGTAATTTTCTGTTTTAGTAGATTGCTTCTGTTTTCTAGTAAATTGTTTTGGGGTACATCTGAGAGCTCTGAGAGACAGACAGTGTGGTGTATTAGATACAATGTCAGATTACAGTTCAGGACACCTGGGTTTAAATCCCACTCTGCCCTAGAAACTGGTGGCAGTGGTAAACCACATATTAAACATTTCATATACTTTGAAAACCTCCTTAGGAGCGCTGTTAATCATAAGCAATTTGACATCACAACAACAAACCTTTCTGAATCATGTTAATAAATATTCAAAGTTCAACAGGATTGTCTGTGGTTCCAGCACAATGGAACAACATAGTCACCTCTTTGGAATTAGGAATCTTTATTGCTTGTCAGTGTGGAGAAACATCAAAGGTAAATGTCTTACTTGCATCTTACTTGTTTCTAGATGTGTTTTCCTAATGGCCAGTATTAGTAATGTAACTGTCAGTGTTAGTGCTTTTTGCATTTAAATTAGCTCCAACCTCACTGATAACATCTCACCCCAAATCATGCACATTAGGCATTACAGCTTATCATAGATAAAAGCAAAGAGAGTCCTACTGCATCATTAAAATTGAATTTATTATAACATGAGTTTTTGATTAATTCAGCCCACCTACACATATCCTTGTGGTATAATGGCTATGCTGGCTGGGGGATTTTTGGAGCTGTTGTCCATAGCAATAACTCTCCCAAGCTTCTGACTTTACTTGGTAGACCACCTGCATGGTTTTACTTTCTTTAGATCTCCCCACCCCTATCCCCTCTTTCTGTAGGGCCAGCTGCCATCAATGTTTCGTGAAGTCACAGATTCCTGTCAAGCAGTTTATTCTCTTTTTCAAATTCAGATTTTCTTTTCCTTTAAAACATTAAGTACTTCTATATACTGAGAGATTTTCCTTGGGTACATAAACACCACTATCTTATTTCTGCATATCCAAGTTCTGCTTCCAAACTAATAGCAAACTAACCTCCTGAAATACATGGAACCTAGAACAAAATATTGCAGTGTTGATATCGGTGAAGATTCTCAGTTATCCAGGTGAGGTTAACTGGAAGCTGAGTCGTGGCAACTGGAGTCATGGCGACTGCAGAATTGGGCTTTTCACTCACCCCCAGTCTCTTGTCCACCTAAAGAGCCTATTCACACCAGGGGAAGTGAAACCAATGTAGAAGATATATCAGGAGTCTTCCACCAACTCTCCTCAGACTGAGGAAGTTAACCTGGATGAGTAGCGAAACATTTCAGCCTAATAAGAAAGAAGGCCAGTTGCTATGACTCAGCTTCCAGATTGCAATGTAGAATGTTCCTGTTCAGAATTCTAACTAGTCAGCTATTCCCCTTTTCATGACACTCCACTCTGTTTCTCCTATCTCCCCTGCAATGTTTTTTTTTTCATTCCTCCAAACGAGTTAGCTAGCATTTTGTGGCTAAAAAGCATATTTAGTCCTTTCCCGTCCCTCTGTTCTAGCTTCCTCTGCATAACAATTGTTTATACTTCTGCAAACTTTGGGTTGCACCAAGACCACTGATACTTTCCTTCTGTGTATATATTATGCTGTTCGGGCCATCTAAAGGAAAATGCAAATGGATCTGGTTTGAAGTTGCACCCGGGAAGTCACGTTGACCTGGGTCAGGTTGACCGGGATCACTTCTGCCAACTGCATAGGAGTCAGTAGAGAGAAGGATGGAAACCAGCCTTGTTTGCATCTGAGTCCTATCCTCTCCACATCTGGTGTCTGGATCTGTTTTCCTCTTCCCTTCCTGCTCCATTCCATTTCTCTCTTTCCTTTTCTTCTGATGGTCTTAACACAGGCCAGCTGGCCAATCAAAGGCAGCGGTGGTGGGGTGGGGTGGGGGTGAAATAATGTGGATTTCACAGACAGATAAATTAGCTAGTTTTAAGAAGGGGGGGGAAGCACTAGACCCAGGCACTAGGTGGGGAGAAGAGTTACTCCAATGGCAGCCAGTTTCCCCACTGTCTTGCCTCTCTCACTGCTGCTGGAGTTGGCTGGAATGACTTCAAATTGGTTCAAGCAATTGGTTCAAGTATTGGTTCAAGCAATCACACCATCTGAACTGATGTGAAAGCATTGGATTCCAAAAGAGTAGAAGCTTCAGTGTGGAAGAGGAAAAAACTATGGATTGGTGGCAGAGTGGGAGGAACTCCAGACTGATTTACATTGATTTTTATATCCATTATTCAGAGCATGTTACCATAGTCTCTCGAGACTGAAGGATGCCTATGCTATGACTTTTATATCATGTAGTCAATGGAGAATAATGCAAATCAGACTGGCCCAATCCTGGAGCACTTCCTGCATTATTTGTCAATGTAGTTGCTTGTTAAGAATACTGTAATATGCTGTCATGTAACTTCCAAATGACCCTAAGAGAGTTTTCAGAGTGGATGAGAACTTCAACGAGCAGTTTGCCATTTTTACCCTTCAGTGAGTTTCAGAAGAAATTAGAAAAAGAATCAGACCTGGAAGGAACTACAAACAATCCTTAAATATAACGATGTGTCACTGGAGGCCAAGGACAAGATCAGCCATTCAATGATATTCCCAGTTACAATGTAGAAATGTGACAGCTGGACAGAAGGAAAACTGATAGGCAAAAAAAGAGATTCATTGAAATGCCCTGTTGGAACACAGCAGTACAAATATTGTACCATGGATTGACAGAAAGACAAATAAGTGAGTGCTGCATCAAATCAATCCTGAACTCTGTTTAGAAGTGAATCTGAGGTTGTTTTTGGCTTATCATGCAAAGATAAGAGTAATCTGAAAACACAATGAAGGAATTCATACAAGGGCTATATGTCTGTTCACCTGCGGAAACCTTGCCTTACGATTAGCGTCTGTGAGTGTGATCTGAATGATGTATACCACTACCCAACATATGGCTCATGACTGTTGTCATTTTTCGTAGTACAGTTAAGGTGGCAAGAAGAGCTAACTACTTCACATTGTATCACCACAGAAAACCTTGCTTGGAACTACTTTTGTGCCATATTCCAGCAGCCCCTTGCTTGAGGGCGGTACCACCAATGGTGGAAGCAGTCACATGACTAGGGGCTGTCTGCTTCCACCTGGGTTGCTCATTAGCATTTTCAGGGTTTGTATAAACTTGATCTCACAGCTACTGTTACCCTACCAGTATGTTACAACATCCAAATACGTGATAGACCAGGCCACCTGCATTTGTCCCTAGAGCCATCCGATACTGGATGCCAAATCTGAGACCAATAACAGTAGGAGGCAACAAAGGAATACATGAGGTTCCCTGTGAATGTAATACCATATGCAGTAATGGTGTGATGTCATATCATTGCAATATTAGGCTCCCATGTGACCAACCTTTCCCCTCCTCCTCTTAAAGAATCCAGTCTCTCTGAGTGAATGTAAGGCATCTCTTCCTTCCTTTCTGGTTTTCTATTTCTCTTCCTCTACTTTCTTCACCACCTCCACATACACTTTGTAAAGGCTTCTCGTCCAAGATAAGCGAAACCACATTTTCCTCTCCCATCATCAGTGTACTCTCTGCAGGAAAGGAGATGGGAGGGCTAAGAAAAAGGAAGCTGAGTTTGTTTGCTTTGTACATGCACATGGATGGACATTTCCAAAATAAATGGGAAGACAAGACAGAGCCTATGATGACTGCCAATCACATGAAGGTGTGTAGTTGACACTGGGGAAAAATGCACACCATTTGAATGCCTAACAATTGCAATGTTAGGTGAAGAAAGATAGCATGGTCAAGCAAACAAAGAGGGTGGTGTGGATTAATTTACTAATGCAAGGAAAAGTTGAAGGAAGACCAAACATGAGACAATTTGACTTAATACAAAAAGGCACAGCTTTTAGTTTGAAAGACCTAAGCAGGGCTGGTCGCACTCTTGGATGGCCTGTTGACAGGGGCAATACGCCCTTGTTGGTCCTCCTTGATATCTCAGCCACCTTTGATACCGTCGACCATAGTATCCTCCTGGGAGGCTCTCCAAGTTGGGAATCGGTGGCCTGGTGCTTGCCTGGCTCTGATCCTTCTTGGAGGACAGTCCCCAGAGAGTACAGCTTGGGGAGAGTGTTTCAGCCTCATGGAGCCTCAATTGTGGGGTGCCGCATCTCCCCAATGCTGTTAATATCTATATGAGGCTGCT